CTTCAAGCTCTGCTCAGAACCAAAACTGAAATCTGACCAGGCCCACCAACAACCAGGGAGGTGGCTGCCTGTACCAGACCTTTCCAGTATGGACTGGAAAAAAGTCTCCTTCCGTCAGGGCACTTGCTTCCATCTGTCAGAAAAAGCTACTCTCAAACACACGTATCTACAATGAACACAATAGGCATGGTGCCCACTGGCCTTGTGCAGTGTGTTACCTGCACAACCATACTTTGCCAGCAGCCTTCTGTTAGCCTGAAAGATGTACTCTGGTCTCATCTGACCACTCTCAAATTCCCCTGTGACTATCCCTCCTTCTGGAAATGTGGTCTTCCTGGACGACCACAACACCACATTCTGTAGTCCTTCTGCTCCTTCCCCTTTCTCCCAGGCCCTTAAATGTCGACTCCATTTCAGAGTCCTGCTCTGCTTTGTCTTCCTTTGTTACCTGACCCATCTGTGTGAGTGGTCTCGATCCCTTTCACTCAACACTTACAGAGTGTCCACTCCATGACTGGCAGTGTTCTAAGCACTGAGCCCTTGAGTTCATACTGATGATTTACAAACATGTCTCCCAAACTGCCTTCCTGAAATCTATACATGGAAACCAAATGGATTCCTCAGACTTAACTTCTCCAGATCTGAGCTCATCACCCCTCTCTTCATATTGATTCCTCTTCCTGTTCTAGCAAATGATGCTTATTCAATTACCCAAGCCTGAAAGCTGGAGACATCCTAGACTCTCATTTCTCTGCCCTCCAAAAGCAGGAAGTCTTATTTTTCTACTTCCTAGGCATGTCTCAGTTTCACCCACATCTTCCCATCGCTGTCACCACCACACTGACCTCCATCCTATGTACCCGGTATCACTTCCCATGTAGAATAAACACTGCATCACAGCTGTGGAAAACAAACTTATGGTTACCAAGGTACACGATGAGGGAAAGATAATTGGAAGATTGGGACTGACATATACTTGTATATGCACTACTATATAAACAATAGATAAGTGGGGTCTTCCCTGGCAGTCCAGAGGTTAGGACTGCCAACTAAAAAGAAAAATGCACAACATGAAAGTTGAGAGTTAAGTTTTATTTGGGGCAAAATGAGGAATACTATGGGAGCTTCCCAGGTGGCACCAGTGGTAAAGAACCTGCCTGTCAATGCAGGAGACATCAGAGATGCAGGTTCAATTGGGAAAGATCAATTGGATTGGGAAAGATCCCCTGGAGGAGGGCCTGGCAACCCACTCCAGTATTCTTGCCTGGAGAATCCCACGGACAGAGGAGCCTGTGGGGTACAGTCTACAGGGTCACAAAGAGTCAGACACGACTGAAGCAACTTAGCACACACGCATGAAGTATACTATAGCCTGGGAGACAGCTCTGAGAACCTGCTTCAAAGAGGTAGGGTGCAAGGTCAGTATACACGTGATTTTAGTGAAGAGGGGTATATGCAGTCAAGCATGTATTTTTTTGCAGGTTTCTACTGGTCACGAGGAGTAGTTGTCATCATGAAGGATTTTAGTGCTTTTCTAGATAATCAGGAGATACAAGAATTGGGCTCATAAAATCAGCTCCTGAAAATATTTAACTATCTGAAGCCCTGTTCAGCCAGTTTTTCCCAGAGCACAGGGTGCCTCATGTCTGCTTTCCACCCTGAAATCCTTACAGTGGGTGTTGAAAGTCAGCAGCTGCAGCAGCAAGTGATGTAATCCTTGTAACTGATTTGTACTTCACAAGAGTCTGTGCTTTCACTGCCTGGGGCCCAGGTTCAATCCCTAGTTGGGGAACTAAGACTGCCACATGCCCCGTGATGTGGGGAAAAAAAATTAAAATAAAAAATAACTGATAAGAGAACTTCTTATTAGTTATAGTACAGAGAACTCTACTCAATACTCTGTAATGATCTATATGGGAATGGAATCTAAAAAAGAACAAAAATATGCATATATACAACATGTATGCATATGCTGTATACCTGAAACTAACACAACAATGTAAATCAACTTTACTCCAATAAAAATTAATTAGAAACAAATAAACAGGCTCCCACCTGGGCTCTGCCTCATGGCCCTGACCTGAAAGTCTACAATGGCTTCTTCTGCCCTTAGGATTTCAGTTCTAATTCTCTGGTACGGTTTACAAGGCCAATCATGACCAGACACCTCCTCCACCTCCAAACTTTCATTTCTCTTCATTTCCCCTGCCCTTCACACTCTTGCCCTTATTTGTTCTCTCTTCTATCCTTACTGAGTTCCATTTAGTTCCTGAACATGTCATCTGTTTGTAATTTCTGAATCTTAGCCAATACTAGTCCCTCTGCCTAGAAGAGCTCCTTTGGGTCCCCTCCCAGCCCATCATCTTGCTGACTGCACCTTTTTTCTTAAAAAAAAAAAAAATTTTTTTTTATTTGGCTGCACCTGGTCTCAGCAGCCAATGAATCACCTTGGAAGTGAAGCCTCCAACTTGCTTTGATCATGTACCCCATGTGCAGAGAGCTGTCCCCTCTGATTCTAGAGCTAAATAAATGAATGTGGTGGTCTGGAGACCTAACCTTGGGACGCTCTGTTAAGCAACAAGAAATAAGCAGGGGGTTGTTGAGCCCTGGAAGTGGAGTGTTGCTGCCTGACATGCACCATTGGCTTTGGGACCCGGCAGCAGGCAGGCGTCCGAAGGCCCAGGGACGGTGTCAGAGAGAGGGTGGAAGGCTGGAGGTGAGGGCCTAAGAGAGGAAAGGAGTCTCCAGTTACAGACGAGAGCTTGCCAATCCTGTTGCCATCCTCTCCTATAAGGTAGAAAATCAGAACTGTGCTTCAGGAACTCAGTGACCTGGTGAAGGAGGCAGCTGGGCTGTTTCTAAAGGGCTTCCTGGTTTCTCCTAGCTGCCTGATGAATTTCCATCAAGATACATGCATACTCCAGTCATGCTGCCTCCATGCACCATGCACTGAGTCGTAAACACCCTGGGACTTCTCCAGGTCCCTCAAGAGTCGGCTTGTCCAAGGAGACTGACTAATGTGTTGTCCTCTGGGTTGTTCAACCCTCCTGGGGAAGGCGACCCGCAGAAGGCCAACTGGCAGACTGCCATCTTAGCAGACCAGGAGGCGGACTGGCAGAGAACCAGAGATCTCGGCGCTAGACCTTCTCCCCTTCCCCATGCTCTTCGTTAGGTAGATATATAAACATGTTTCTAACATATACACAATAATATAAAGAATAACCAACCCTCCTCTCCACTAGAACCACAACCCCTGCATTTTGGGTTTGTTTCCCTTCTTTTCCTTTACAGTTATAGTACGTATGTATATATCTACAGTGATACCTGTAATTTTGCTTGTTTCTGAACCGACAGAACTAGAATTCTACTGTGTGCAATCTCTTGCAGTTTGCTCTATTCTCTCAACATTCTACCCATGGGTTTCACCTCTGTGGTTTTGGTTTTGATCTTTGCAACCGGTCTATAAAATAAATGGCTACTCACTATGTCCATCCTGGCACAATGTACTGTGTATCTCGGGTGGCCGATAAACTCTCTATGATGATGCTGTTTAAGATGAGTTCACAGAACAGCCAGACCACTCACTTTCACGGAGGCGCAGTTGCAACGTTGGGGAAACCAGTGTCCACATGAGGTATAAATCTTTTAGGCAAAGGTTAAACATGAACTGATCACTTGGCATAAATCTTGGCAGTGTGCTGCCTCAAGTACGAGTTCATCATTGTGTTAGGCAAATGCATTTAAAAACACAAATGCAAGGGGATAAAAATGAATAAAGTTTAGATAGTCCACCTTTCGAGTTATTCCTGCTTTGGCATCTTTCCTGGCAAAGAACTGAAAGCAAACTACCAGTGAGGGGTGCAAAGCATGCTTTGTCTCACCCACTCTCTCTAGGGAGTTTCTTGAGTTAGTACCATAAGTAATAGAAGTAAAATTTTCATATAATATAGATGTAACAGAAGTAACAGTTAATCCTCTGGGCATCAAACTAACAGGCCTAATATTTTTCTAAGTACTAGAGTATTTGTTTCCTCCGCCAGTCTCTGATATTTTAGTTCTCTTGTTCTCAATCTTGAGTCCTTTTGTAGTCATCCCCCTGAACATTAAACAATTCGGATGTTTGTATCGTCTTCCGGGAGATTCTGATGCAATCGGTCTGAGGTGATGCCTTTGCGTGGGGGTTTTGAAAAGTTCCAGAGACTCATAGCTGTAGTGGAGTTGAGAAGCTCTGGTTCACAACACTTCATTTCCTCCTCAGGGTCCAGCGCGGCGCCTGGTGGAAAGTGATGCTCAGAATGGATACCCAACGTTCAGTCTCTCAGAAAGGAGGGAAGCGAGGGCTCGGAACCTCAAACCCTTTCGGTGCCCCGGGGCGAAGACCACTGAGGAGCCAAGTCCTGCCCAAGCCAGTGGTGAGGGCGACGCCCCCATGCCCAGGTCTCTCCCCCTTGCCCTGACTCTAGAAAGTTTCCACCTTGGAGAGCAGGTACTCTCCGGTCAATTCTCAAAGGCCTCTGAAGACACACGGCCACCGCGAAGTTCGGCGGTGCCAGGCGGTTTCTTGTTTCCACAGGTGAGGCAGAGTCTGAAGAAACTTAAGTGGCCTCTTGGGGCTCTGGCCCAAGCCGGGTTGACTTTAGAGTCCAGAGTCCTCTCTTGGCTTCAAATTGCAGCCCGGCAGCGCCTCCCGAGACAGGTGGAGCGGGGGGCACCTAAGCAAGCCTGCTCCGCGGGGAAGGCGGCGCGTCCCCGGCGGCCGGAGCGCGAGTCTCAGCGCAACCAGCCAGAGCTGCACGTGGCGCGGCGGGAGAGGCGGTCTGGGGAGGCGGACTACAAGTCCCGAAAGGCCTCGCGCTGGACTGGGCGGGGCCTCGCAGGGCTGGGCGTGCGCAGTGGCTCTCGGGAGCGGCGGGGCGGGCCCTCCGGGCTGTCAGCTGTGGCCCCGGGCGCCCGGGTGGGGGTGGTCGCGGCCATTGGCCGAGAGGCGGCGGGGCGGGGCCGCCGTGCGCCGCAGCGGGTTCATGCCGAGCGGGCGGAGGCGGGCAGCCGACCCGGTAGGCGCGCGCCGGTCTGCAGCGTTCGGCCTGAACCATGGCAGCGGCGCCCCTGAAAGTGTGCATCGTGGGCTCTGGGAACTGGTGAGCGTCAGCGGGCGGGCGGAGCGGACTCCGCCTCCAGGAAGCCCCTCTCCGGGGCGAGGNTCACTTTCTCAGACCTAACACAGTTGGATTATTTGGTGTGTTTGGGCGACTGTAGAGGAAAGTGGGCTGGGGGCGAGGAGGCAGAATATGGTATAGCATCTGGTATTTTCAATCTTTTTCCGTGGCTGCCCACTATTTTTCCCACATTCAAGGGACTGGTATAAGAAGAGTTAAAAGAGTGATGTCCTTTAAGTCCTGTGGCCGCACACTCATCACAGTTCACGCTTGTAGCAGTCCTACAGAAATTGGTACTAGTCACTCGGTCTTCCTCTTTAAGACTTGGCCCAGAAAGTACTTTTTGGAGGAAACCTTTTCTGATTCGCCACTTTTCCATCCCAGCGAGGCCAGGAGCGGCTCCCGGTGCCCTGTTGCTAACATCTGTCGCAGGTGATGACTTATTTGATTATTTGTTTCCACTCCTCCCCTTCCAGCTCTAGAGAACAGCAAGAGCTAGGCATGTATTTAGTAAATACGAAATGAATAAACACAAACTAAGTTAAAAGAAAAATCTTTTGGCCATACTGAGCTGCATGTGGAATCTTAGTTCCACAATCAGGGATCTAAACCTCCCCGCCCCCTGCTGCCACGACCTGCCCCCGCCCCCACCCCCACCTCCGCGGTGTATTGGCAGCAGGGAGACTTAACTACTGGACCACTGGGGAAGTCACCCCAAACTCATTTTTTAATGAAGAAATGTAATTATATACGATTTGGCAAAAATTCACATTGTTTGAAAGGTACCCCAGAACTCACCAAAAAAAAAATTATCTTGGCTAAGTTCCAAGACAACCCACCATTGTCTCCCAAGGCACCTCCTGGAGGTAAACTAATGTTATCAGTTTATTCTGTTCTTTCTGGAAGAATTCCATCAGATGCAAGAGAATGTTTACAAGTAGTGTTTTATCTCACATCCCTGCAAATACTAGGATATTTTGCACTTTTCTGTAAACTTTTTTCAACCAACAACAAAATGTTCTGTCCTACGTTTAATTGAGTCGGTACCTATCCACTGCAGAGCTTCGTTTGGACTTGCTGCTGACTTTACCAGTTCTTATCCCCAGGCACTTGAGTGAAATGTCAGCTGCCTCATGGACTGTGAACCTGGAAACATGCCCATTCATCCTGTGTTCTTTAACACTAGTTTCCTCTTCTGAAAAAGGCCCCAGGACCACAGATGACAGCACCTTTTCTTCCTTTGCAAGGTGCAGGAGAAATGGAATGGCTGGGCCACGCGGGATTTGGGCCTGGAGCTAGAGTCATGAAATGACCCGCCTGCCCCAATCTCTTACTTTGGCTGCCTTCCTGCAGCTTAACTCTGATGTACTTGACTGTTTTTCTTGGCTTGCTCCGGATCAAGGAAATGGAGTAGAACTTGGCTAGTGACACTGGAGCTGAGCAATTGAGAAATGCGCCAATGGTTTGGCCTGGCTGCCAGGCTCCATTAATGATGGGATCAGATGGGAACAGTCATTGGCTTCCCAGGCACTGTCCTGGGTACAGAGCCACGCCAGCCCTAGAGAGAGGTTCATGACCTCACCAGAGAGATTCAGGAACTTAGGAACAGAAAATGCCACAGAGATGCTGCCCAGGGGTCCACTGAGTGTTCAGCTCTGGTCATAGACATTTGCCTGTCTGCTCCATGCAGATAAGTGGTCTTTCCAGGGGTAGGAATGCAATGGACACTGTCTCTGCCTTCAGGTCACAGATAGATAAGGACTTGGAAGGTTATGTTCAGGAGAAATACAAAGTGGAATGAAATATCTGCCTCAAGATTAGACGTTTTAGGTTTATTTTCCTCCTGTGGCTTGCGGGATCTTATTTCCCCAACCAGGGATGACACCCGTGCCCCTGCAGTGGAAGCATGGAATCTTAACCTCTGGACTGCCAGGGAAGTCCCAAGATGAGATGTTTTAATAGTGTTTTTAATGTTGTTGTTCAGTTGCTAAGTCGTGTCTGACTCTTTGCAACCTCATGGACTGCAGCATGCCAGGCTTCCCTGTCCTTCACTGCTTCCCAGAATTCGTTCAAACTCATGTCCATTGAGTCAGTGATGCCATCCAACCATCTCATCCTCTGTCGTCCCTTCTCCTGCCTTCAGTCTTTCCCAGCATCATAGTCTTTTCCAAAGGGTTGGCTCTTCACATCAGGTAGCCAAAGGATTGGAGCTTCAGTATCAGCCCTTCCAATGAATATTCAGGCTTGATTTCCTTTAGAATTGACTGGTTTGATTTCCTTGCTGTCCAAGGGACTCTCAAGAGTCTTCTTCAGCACCGCAATTTGAAAACATCAGTTCTTTGGTGCTCAACTTTCTCTTTGGTCCAGCTCTCAAATCCATACATGACTATTGGAAAAACTGTAGCTTTGACTATATAGACCTTTGTCAACAGAGTGGAATCCAGTGTTTTTAATAGTGTTTGTTAAAACATGGTCCAAAGACCACTTGCATCAGAATGTGTGTATGTGTTGGTCGCTCAGTTCTGTCCTACTCTTTGTGACCACATGGACTGTAGCCCTCCAGGCTCCTCTGTCCATAGAATTCTCCAAGCAAAAATATTGGATTGGGTTGCCATTTCCTTCTCCAGGGGGGTCTTCCCAACCCAGGGATTGAACCCGGATCTGCATTGCAGGCAGATTCTTTACCATCTGAACCACAATTAGTACCAAGGAATCTGGACTTGCTGAATCACGTTCCTGAGGGCAGGGCAGATTTTTTTCCCTTCAGGGACTTTAGCCTTCTGCTCCCTTTTTTTTTTTTGGCCTTGCCACAAGGCATGCTTTCCTGGTGGCTCAGATGGTAAAGCGTCTGCCTACAATGTGGGAGACCGCGTTTAATCCCTGGGTCAGGAAGATCTCCTGGAGAAGGAAATGGCAACCCACTCCAGTATTCTTGCCTGGGAAATCCCATGGACGGAGGAGCCTGGTGGTCTGCAGGCCAGGGGGTCGTGAAGAGTTGGACACAACTGAGTGACTTCACTTTCACAAGGCATGCGGGATCTTCGTTCCAGTTGCCAGTCCAGGGATCAAACCCATACCCCCTGTGTTAGAAGCACAGGGTCTTAAACACTGAGCCACAATCTTTTCCACAAACACTGAACCCAGTCTTCTAATTTTAAAACAGATTACCAAAAGACAGACCCTTCCAGATTCTCAGGAATAGGAAGTTGCCTAAGCAGTGTTTCCACTTGGGAACTTGAAGTTGCTCAGAATGCTTAGGTAAATGAAGGTGTTACATTTGTAGCTGTAAGGTGGCTCCCATTAAGTTCATCCTGCAGTGTAAATGATCATCTCTGACTATGCAGATACCTGAAGAATGACAGGCCCTGTCCCGCCCTCCAACACTTAGAGCTGGTGATGGTGGAGGCTGGGGCACCTCACTGAGCCCTGCTGGGCTGCCCGCTGCGGGGTTGCAGGGAGGTGCTTCCTAACCGGCACCACGTTTCATGGGCCTGGTCCCAGTGACTCATAAAAGCAACTGAAAGGAAAAAACAAAAGCCTCCTAAGTTCCTGCAAAGATGAAACAAAGTTCCTCCAGCAAAAAGATCTCCAGGAATCTCTCCTTGGGACGGCCACCCAGAATCAGTGCTAAGATGCAGTCTGAGAACTAAAACGTCAGGGTTGTGTTAGTGAGAGCTCAGTCTCTCTGTGCACCGATGCGGAACCAAACCCTGGAGACCAGAGCTGTGGGTGAAGCAGAGAAGGACAGCTTTATTACGTGGCAGGCAAAGGGGGACACACCAGGCTTCTGCCTGGAAAAGCTATGTGTCTCTTTTTCCAGAGAACTTGAGGGTTTTTATAACAGTGGGTCAAAGATGGGGTTGCTGACAAGATCAGGGAGTATGCTGGCTCTCAGGTGGTTGGTCTTCTAATCTTGATGAGCTGCTCTAGTCCCTCTAATCTTGCCTTAGGTGGTTTCTTGGTTGATTAGCCAACTGTTCGAACCCTCCCTTTGGAACTCAGGGAAGGTCATAATGGCTGCAGTCTTGCCTACCAGAAAGGCCTCTGTGTCTGGGAGCCCCACAGGGTCCCCCTCTGTTTCAGTTGTATTTGCAGCCCCACCCCTGTGCCTGGGAGCTGAGTCCAGAAACACCCCAAACCTCCTTGGGAGGCCGGGTGGGGCAGGAGGCAGCAGTAATAGGATTCCACCCTGATCCCCTCCTGGTTTCTTACCCTGTCAGTCTAGGTCCCTGAGCAAACTGCTTCTCTCCAAGGCTCAGGCTCTGACGTTGGTACCTGCTGTATAGGATCATGGTTAGGATGAAATGAGGTGATCCAGGAGCGACCTAGGTTCAGTCCCTGGGTTGGGAAGATCCCCTGGAGAAGGGAAAGGCTACCCACTCCAGTATTCCGAGCTGGAGAATTCCATTCCTTGGGGCCCCAAAGAGTCAGACAGGGCTGAGCGACTTTTACTTTTTCAGGAGCGTGCAGAGCAACTAGCACTCAGTAAATGTCAGCTAATGAAAAAATGTTATTTTCGTTAGTTGGGTCATCTTTGACCAGCACAATTATTAAGTCACACAATGGATCTTTTCAAAGCCAGTGTTGAATAAGGTGGAGTGGGGACGCAGATCCTTCTAACTCCGATGTTCATGTCTCTATAAATTCTTATCATTTTCAGTGAGAAGCATACTTCCACCTGAGAGCCAGTGCTCATCACAAAATGCCAAGGAACAGAGACAGAGGAGGGGAAAAGATCAGAGAGCAGGAGGTGTTTCCAGAAGTTATCTTTTGCCCTTGTTTACACCGTCACCTTACAGCTTGACTGACGCCTGGGACTGAAGGTCAGGAGAGCTTTGGCCCACTTTGCACTGATGGCCGAAGCTGGTCATCTGGGTGACTCTTTTTGTCCTGCTGGAAGCGTCTGAATGCATCCTGGATGGCTAGTCATCCCCCGTGTCATCCTTTTTTGTCTGGGCTACTCAGTCTCCATGATGATTCTT